CAGGGGGCAGGAGTGCATGGAGGGATGGACACAGGGAAGAGGTAACTATGGGGAGGAAGTGGGAGGGGAGCTGTTGCATTGGGGTAAATTGTAGTCATTGTCATGAGACAATGTGTATGTGAACTGCTGTATGGAAAGTAAATTTGCTCTGTAAACTTTCATCCAAATCACAATCAATCAATCAGTCAGTCAATAAAGAAGAAGACAGTTTTTGGGGAAAAAAAGTGCTGGTGCTGGAAGGGGCATGGGCAGTCTCCTTCCCCTAGAGGAGTATCACCAGGTTTAGATTCAGGCTCAGGCTTGTCAGTTCCTCCAGGAATCCCAGCACAGGAGCCAGGCTGTTTGCTTTCTCATGATTCTTTCCAGGGAGCTTACCTGCAGGACAGGTTTTATAAAGACCTGACTCCTCTCCTGTGGAGGTTTCTCCTGTCTTCCAGACTTCTGGGTTCTGGAATAGTCTATTGTATCTTTTTTAAACTCCTGATGTTTGACTATTCCATAGCAGCTAGAGTCAGGAGAGGTGTCTAGAGCTCGGTCACTCTTTACATTTCTCCTTTGCTTTTTGTGGAGCAAGAAAATGCTATTCAGGCTGGGGAAGCTGTGCCATGTACGACATGAAGCTTTTAGCATGTGTCATGAGCTCTGCACAGATACTGATAATGTAATTTGTCTCCTCTCCTCTGTGTGTAGGGGATTACATGGGATTATTTGTGGGATTTTTGGTAAAAGATGTGAAGCAAAGGATTAAGTTAATTGCCTTAAGGTGTGTGTGTATATGTGTGTGTGTGTATACACATTCTTTATGTTCTTAATTAGAAATCAATGGATTGAATACCTGCCAGGAAGTGAATGGTATAGGGCACGCTGCCCCAGAAACTTTTCCCCGAGATGTTTTTGCTAATGGGCTTAAACCAGTTGCGGGACTTATTCATCTGGATGCCCTTGATGGGAAATCAAACAGTCTGGATGATTCCACTGAAGAAGTTCAGTCTATGGACGTCAGGTATGACCATTTGTTTTGCATTTAACCCTCATCTCTTCCTCCAGCACCTCTATAGTCTTAGTTGTTTCTTCATCTTTTACACAATCAAATCATATAATGTAGGTTTGGTTGATGTTACTAGAAAGCTGTTGGTGGTACTAGTGTCTTGGGTTGAGTTCCTTAGAAGCAGAGCCTGGGACAGGGATTCTAAGCATGTGATTTATTAGAAGAGAGTTCTCAGGAGAAAGGTAGGGAGGAGGGAAGGATGGGGCAGGGGAAGGCGCTAAGCAGGGATGTAGCCTCAGCTAGTCCTGTGGGCTTTGGAGGATGACTTTCTACCAGAGAGTTGTCCCCTTGAGATAAGGGATGTGGCCTTCGTACCAATGTATCTGTCAGTCACTGACTATGTTTTTCCCAGGGTAGGGGCTGCAGGTATCACTTCCTGGGCATGGGGGCTTCTGACAGTCAAAGGCAGTTCTCTAGAGAAAGGGTGGCAGCTGTGAGCCCTTACCAGCCATTCCGAGCAGCTAGAAGATGGTGCATCCTTGGTAAAAGGGGGGATCTCACTGAGCACCCATGGACTCCATTCTGTCCAGGGCCTTGCATTTAAGTAAACGTGTAATCACAGACTTGAGAAAGGAACTAAGAATTCTTAAATTGGTACCATGTTTTGTGTTTGACATCAACTGGCAGATTAATCCCAGACAAAAAGAGAATTCAGTGTGAGATTGGGGAAGAGGCCTGGACATCAACCACCCAGGGCAAGGCTGTAAAGCAGGAGTGGGTCTGGGAGTCAGAAAGGAATTACCATATTCTTTACACTCTTGGCCAGTGGTCCAGCCTGCCAAAGCTTCCCCTTCCCTCCTTGACAGGAGTTCTCAACTTGATCTAGGGGCTGTATCCTGTGGGACACTAATTATAAATATCCCATCTGGTCCCTCCCTGGGCTTGAACCAGATATGTGAAGACTCAGAGTCTAATAATGGGCCCCTGGAATCAGTAGAGCAAGTCCTGCATAGACTGACAGCAGGACGTTCACTCCTTGCTGCCACACACTGTCCATCATGACAGGCTTCCACTCTCCCCTTGGAGAAGACACCTGAGGCTTCTGAAGGGTTAATGTAACATGCCCACATGCTGAGCCCACTGTGCTTATTCTTTTATGTCTTTGGGGTTTGGGTACAAAACATAACACTGGCTAGGAATCAAGAAAGTGAAGGTTTTTGTATGTGCACAGAGTTTACCCTGTTGCCATTTCTGCATTTAGAGAAGTGACTCCTGGGGCTGGCACCTGAGCTTGTGGTGGCATCTCTTCTCTATGCTCTGACTAGGTGTTGTACCCTGGAGAATGGGGGTGGCGAAAAGTAGAGATACGTATGGTGTTTCTGCTCAATAAACAGTGTACCCAAGCTCCAGACATGGCAAGTGCTGTTAGGTCAACTCTTGCCCCTTAACTGGGTTAAAGGGCATGAGAGACAGAACCTCTGAGCTTCTGCAGCTCAACTGGTTTTTCTAGATTCTTCTCTAAGATAATCAGGAAGGAAAAGAATTGAAGAACCTGGCCACAGCCTTACTCTGGCTGTTAAGAGAGACTCATGGTGACAGGGCCTCAAGTCCCAGCCTACCACTCATCTGAGCCTGGGTTTCCTCTTGCTAGACTTGTAGCTCACAAAGTGATAGAGCTCCTCCTTTCATCTTTAGGGAGAGGAATGAGAGCAAAAGCTAAGCTCAGCTGGGCAGGAGCTGGGTAAGTCAAGGTGGGTTGGAATCCTCACTTGAGAGAACCAGCAGTGGATGAGAAAGTGGGTGTCATTTGCAGGTGATTATGATTGGTGGGGGCTGTTGTCAACAAGGAACCCTAACCTGGACTTCTCATTCATTGCCAGCTCCAAGCAAACTCCCCCTGGCATTATGAACTGGGCACTCACAAGAGTTCTGTTAAGGAGAAACAATGATTATTCCCATTACACAGGAGAAGAAACTGAGGCTAGGGAGGAGATGCAGTTTGCCTAAGGCCACACCACTAAGAAGGCAGCACCAGGGCAGCCTCTGGGGATGCACACCTGGAGCCCCTGTGACCATGTCAGACCTTCCGCTCACTTTTAGCTTTGTGCATCTACTTTGTGTTTGGTTTCCCGTTTGAAGGTTCTGCTTATCTAGAAATGTCCTAATTTTGCCATCATATTTAAGGGAAAATTTTGCTGGGTATATAGTTCCTGGTTGACAGTTGTTTTCTTTCAGAGTTTTATATATGTCATCCCATTGCTTTCTCACATGCATGGTTTCTACCAAGAAGTCAGAGCTTAGTCTTATTGGTTGACCTTTGTAGGTAACTTTTTGTTTTTCTTGTGCTGCTTTCAGGATTCTTTCTTTGTCTTTGTTTTTGTTAAGTTTGATTATGATATGCCTTGGTGATTTTCTTTTGGGGTCTATCCTCCTTGGGGTTCGTTGAACTTCCTGAACAGATATCTCCTCATCTTTCATCATATTTGGGAAGTTCTCTCCAACAAATCTTTGACAGTTTTCTTTGTGGTTTTATTTGTCTTCCTATTCTGGAATTCTGGTCATGATGGTGTCTCACATAAATCTCAGGGGCTCATTTTTTAAAAAGTCTTTTTCTGCTTAGTGATTTCTTAACAAAATAGTATTGAGGTATTTGTCTTCAATCTCACTAATTCTGTATACCATTGATTCATTCTACTCCTTTATCCTTTCAATATATTATCTATTTCTGAAATCTTAGTATTAATCTTCTGAATTTCTATTTGCCGTTTTTGTATGGTTCCTGATTTTTCATTTATTTTATCAGTTTGTTGTACTGTTTTCCTAAATTGTTCTGGAGTTTTTTCCATGTTTTCCTTAATTTTGTCAATATTTTCCTTGATCTGCCTCTCAGTCTGTTGAAGGTACCTAAATGTAATTCTTTTGAATTCCTTATCAGATAGTTCCAATGCCACTTATTCCTCAGGGAAGTCTTCTGGCTCTATATTCTGGTCCATTGTTTAGACCAGAATACTTTATCTTCCTTCTTTGAACTGGGATTGCCAGTTTTCTCTAAGACATTGTGATGTCATTGTATTTATATTTAATTGGTAATTGTATGTTGGTATGATTTGTCCACTATTTTTGTTTATTTTTTTTTTTAATTTTTTTTATTTAAGAGTTTCACATTCAGCCCAATAGTTAACAAGATGTACATGCAGATCTCTTTATTTTGTTTTGATATATCTGAGCAAGCAAGGCTGTTACGCTACTCTGCTAGTTTGGCAGCACTTGCATGCTCACCTCCTGTCTCCTGGTACATGTGATAGAGGATGAGAATGTGTGCACAGATCTCTGTTAGCTGTCCATGTAGAACAGTTGAGTGGTATTGGCCACTGTCTGTCATTGATCAGTTGGTGCGGAAGCAGATGGTGGCCCTCACCCAGTGGGTGGGGCTGCAGGAGGTGCAGGAGGTAGTTGGGTTGTATCAGCATGGTTGCTGTCTGCCACCCAGTAGGACAAAAAAAATTAAAAGAAGAGAACAAAAAACACAAACAGTAACAAC